AAGCATGTTTGAGGAATTCAAGAAGGATATGACCAAGGAGTTTGAAATGACCGACATGGGGCTTATGGCATATTATCTCGGAATTGAAGTAAAGCAAGGAAACGAAGGAATTTTTATTACTCAAGAAAGCTATGCTAAAGACCTCCTCAAGAAGTTCAAGTTGGATGATGCTAATCCAGTTGGCACTCCTATGGAATGCGGCATCAAGTTGAGTAAGGATGAAGAGGGAGAAAAGGTGGATCCAACCCTCTATAAAAGTCTTGTTGGAAGTTTGCGCTATTTAACTTGTACAAGACGAGACATTCTCTATGCCGTTGGAGTCGTGAGTCGGTACATGGAGGGTCCAACAACTACTCACCTCAAGACTGCGAAGAGGCTTCTTCGATATATCAAAGGTACGACAAGCTTTGGCCTATACTACTCAAATTCTAACGATTACAAGCTTGTTGGATATAGTGATGGACATTACTTGCGTGCCCTTTGGGAATAGAGGGTTTTGGTGCCCTTTGTACGGACAGCGGTGTCGTTTGAACCCTCCTCTATATATATATATATATGTTTCCATTGCAAAATAATTTCTAAAAATGTTATTGTGCAAAATTACGGTATGTGTTTAGTAATTATTAAAATTTCCTTATTCAAAATTTTTCTTTTATTTTGATATATTTGTTTTTATATATTTATTTTTAAAATAATTTTGTGTAGCAATTTTGATATATTTGCTCTTTTAATTATTTTCAATGATAATTTATTTATAATAATATTTATTTATATATAAAAATATTTGAGAAAGAGTTATTAGAGAAAATAAATATTTAGGACAAAGATATTGGAGGAAAAAAATATTTAGAACGGATTTATAGGAGAAAAGATTATTGAAGAAAATTATTAAAATAAAATTTATTGGAAGAGTTTTAGAGGGGATAAGTTATTTCCTTAATTTATATATAAATAAAAAAATTAAATCAAATAAGAACTTAAGGAAATCCCTAAACACACTTTCATTAAACAATAGTCTCTAAAAACACTATCACAAAAGATAGTAGTTCACGTTTAATATATAAGAGTTGATATTATTTTTTTCAATGATTAATGATTAACAAAATATATATATATATATATATATATATATATATATATATATAT